CTCCAAACAGACTCCAGCATCTTGTGACCCTACAAGTGATTTGGCAAATGGATAGATGGATAATATATAATATTATATAAGTGTTTCACCATGTTTAATCAACTTGTTGACATATAAACAGATATGTGTTACAAATTCAGTACAAATATGTAATCTCTCAAAGAGAAACTATAATAATCTAACAATAATTAGATAAATAAAGATAAATTAAACAATTTCAAATAGTTTTCATTGGAGTATACCATGAGGACACACTGCAAAACAGTGCTGACATTGCTTGAATTTTCATGGCAGCTGCCCAATTATAGCATGCAGACCATCCAACAAGCAAGTTCTTTTCCTGTGGCGTCAAAACAAACTGGTGGAAGAGGAACTTCCCATATTTGTTGAATGAAGAAAGGCAGAATAGTTAGGATCAGCCATGATGAAAGGAGCTGAAAAAGCAACAGATGGCTCAAAACTCCGCTATTTGTCTCCGATTAATCTGCGCAAGAACTAACCAATATTGATCTAGTGTCTGTATAGTAGTGAGTTACAGGAGGTTTCAAACAAACGTTCACAGTAGTACATGTAGTGGATATTTGCATCAGTGTACTACTGTGCCAAAATGAGTCCTAATTACTAAACGAAGCGCAAAGACTTTAATGAGCACATCGGCACTGCGCAACAGCCACAAAGATATAAACACTACAGGCAGACAAAATTCAGCAACAACACAATAATTAATCGGTGACCTTTTGCACTGCAGAATTTGTGTTTGCATATTTAAAGGTTATTTTATAACACATTAAAAATGTTGTATTTGAACAAGAACTACAGATGCAAAGCGCTGACAAAAATTTAGTATGCACATTGTGATTGCTTTGCTGAGTGGAGCTTTTGTGGAGAATACAGGCATTATGGGAATCCAATGGGGATATACCTGCCAAATATATGCACTTGGATTCATTTAAAAAATGCATTTGGATTCATATTCATTTACAAAAGTAGCATCACTCTAAAATTTCAGGACTTGATTGGGCACAAACTTGCATCTCTCGTAATCCTAAACTACTCCACCTATGCTGCTCACACTCACGCATTACGCTCCAGGCGTGCACATGCACTAGGATCTGAGGTCTTCCAGTGCACAGCGCTGTGTGAGATGCATTAGCATAAGCTGACCTACATATCCGGGACTGCACACCAGCGCTACGCATTGTGCCCGCCGAACTGAATGGCACCTCACCCATGCCACTGCTGAAGCCACCATCGCTATGGAAACCAGATCTTCACTGGCGGGCCTCCAGAGTTTTTCGTGCTATCCCACCAAACTAAAACCCATAGAGAACACAGCACAGACTTACAGACCTGCTGAAATGGACACTTCTAGGAAAGATGCGAAGAAAATGACAGTTTATGCACAATTATCTTAGTAGCAGCATGGAAGGCTCTTGGCACTATGATGACATTTGAGTGTGTAAATCACTCTCTGAAATGAGAGGTCAGTCAGTGTGTGATGTTAATACCTAGCAAAAAGTACCATGGTGGTATAATGTCACAGTGATGTTTTAGATGGTAATACCATGGAATTTTGATATACAGTCAATAATTAAAAAGGACTAAAGAGAAAACTCTCAAAAACATACTTCAAAATGCCAAAATTCTTAGAAATTATAATCTATGTTTTCAAACTGTTTTAGAATTAGTTAAGTGGTGTAACCAATAAATAAATACATTTTCTAATAATTTACCAAATAATATTTTTTAATAAAATTAAAACATTTTCAAACATAGATCACACACACACACACACAGGTTTGTTTTTGTGAAAAGTGGGGACATCCCATAGGTGTAATGGCTTTTATACTGTACAGACCGTATATTCTATTGCCCTACACCAACCCTACCCCTAAACCTACCCCTCACAGGAGACTTTGTGCTATTTCAGATTTTCAATACACTCCATTCTGTGTGATTTATAAGCGTTTTGAAAAGTGGGGACATGGGGTAATGTCCTGAAAAGTCACTTTCTCCTTGTAATACCTGTCATACCTTTGTCATTATACAAATTTATGTCCTCATTTGTCACAAAAACACGCGCACACACCCATACATATACATACACAATTATCAAGAATTATTTATTAAAAAATACCAAGTTCAAAACTCAACTTGCCTGTCCAATGTCATACATTGATTTGGGAACATTTTCTATTATATTTGGAATCAAATGATATATAATTATTAATAACTTATTTTTATACAGTCAGAAAATATATGTTTTTTTTATATGATTCTGCCAAAAAAAATGTATTCTGCCATTTCTTTCTTTATTTGTTTGTTTATTTACTTACTTTTTGTTCTTACAATCTTAGGAAAGTTACTCCACCTAGAACCTTCTGTCTTTAAGCCAAAAAATATTAAAATGACTTAATTTGGAAAAAGACATAAGCTAATAGAAGAGGTGCGTTCAAGTTGTATGCATTTAAATTTTAAGCAGGGTCTTGCTAATGTAATCTCGATATTATCTTTCGCGTTAACGTAATATCACTTATTTTATGCACGCAAGTAGAAATCACGATAAGTTTTATCCCCAAATCGACTCCGTTCAGTCAGTTCTGTCAGATTGCTCACCGCATCCCTCCCAGCAGGAAGCGCAGGATTATTCTGTCATACCTTACAGCAGGTGCTTGCACAGGTGAAAGCGTTCCGTCTCCAAACGCTTAGATTACAAAAAGCTGCAAACGATACTCCAACCGGTAGTAAACCGCTGTTTATAATCCATCTTTTTAATGCTGCCGTGCTTTAATCGTCCCTCCGCAGGGAAACAGGTGTGTTTGTGGGAGTGGCTGCAAACGCCTGGTACTGTACCTCCCTACAGTGCCACTCACACTGACACACTCACTAGGGCACTCGGCAGAGGCTCACCTAACCTGTTGTGCTCTTCATTTGACTCTGGTAGTATGCTTGAAAACCCCTTCCCCCATACACAGTCAAATTAGCAGGCTTATATTTAGATATGTGCAGCATGTTTTGGTTCTCTCAAAAAATAACGAGGTAAACTCTGTACTAACTCTAGTAGACTAATCAAAGTTTTCCATACGCACCATATAGAGCGTCTTGAGCCCGGTGTGGTAGATTAAACGGACGGAGAAGCCGGTTCTGTGGCGGTGAGGGGCAGCGGCCGTACACACAAACAGACAAGCAAACCATTGACATGCAGATCACTTGGCAGGGAGCTCCAGAAATGGAGGCTGACTGGGCGTTTGATTAGGCTCGAAACGTCGCTAATAACTATACATTCTCTTCAATCGTAGAAATATAACAGCTATATACGTTTTTGTCCTCATTAGAAAGCGATTATTAGGGCTTGGGGTTTTGACCCTTCGCCGTCTGACTCTTCATTTTATAACTGACCAGTGAGAACAGCTTTAATTTTGCTTATTAAATGAGGAAAGTTTCAAATTTGTGCGGTAACTACATTTTTTTCGGTTACCACACAAAACTAGTGAGGCTGTAACCATAGCAACAGTAGTTCGCGTGCGGTTAGGAACGGAAAGAGTAGGCCTAAGCTACTATTTTTATTAATAATTTACATAGGTTTACATATCACAAGTATGTCACAAAGCTACGTTTAGTTGCTTTAAAGTCTTTAAAATTGTAGGGGGCGCCAAAACAGTGGGCTGCACAGAGACGAATTCCTTTAAATTCTTCAAAACGTTGATAATTTCTTTAAAAACACAATAAAAATACAACAAAACGAACAGTGCGCAAACTATAGCCTATAACATATGTTCATTAGTAAGGTAAAATCCCAGAAGAGTTCTCAGAACTAACGTTTTGGCAGGATTCTCTCAGTTATGAACAAATGTTCTCCCGGTAACGGTCTTTTAACGTTTTCTGGTCTTGTCTGGTCTGTGACCAGTTGTATAAAAGGTTTAGACCATGGTTTAGACTAGTCTTACAAGTTTCTTTAAGATTGGTCATAATTAAAAAAAAAAAAAGGTTACATAAAAACTAAGTTGAATACAAAATATAAGACTGATTTGTTACCACCTGGCTAACTGCTAACTGTCAGGCTAGTTTTTAAGACACTATAAACTTGGCTAAGTTTATGCAACTGGCTCTCAAATGCAACATCATTTGTATTGTTCATGGATTGCTTCTTCTGATTTTCTTAATTCATAATGCTAAAAATAACAAATGATTAAATGAAACTTTACCTAATGTTCATAGCCTATGTAAAACGTTCAGTTCAGAAATAATGTTTCCATAAAACGTTCTTAAAGCATGATTTTGTTAGTTGGGATGAGGTTATATGACCCCCTCCTGTTTGAAAAATACTAAAAAAATAGCCTATATGACATTGTGTTATATTGAATATCAAACGCTTTTGTGTCTGTTTGCTAATTTGTGGATACATAATATTTTTAGATTTGTGAATTCAAATGATTAAAATCGATTAAAATTAGGCCTATGGGTTCAGATGTCCCTGTCCTCCTAACATGTATATAGTAGGCTTACAACAAAACTGTTTTCAGATACTTACACTGCAGAGGCATTAAAACAACCATCCTTTTACAGATAATTAATTAATTTAATAATTATTTAAAAAACATTTTACTTAATACATTGAAATGTGGAAAGGGCAATAATATATTTAGCTCCATCAATCAACTGTTGATGTAATGCAGGTATTTCTACACCAGTTTGTTTTTTCTTTTTATGGACACCGGAGACATCATCACTTCCCCGTGGTTTTGGTTTCGTAGGCACAGGTGCTAATTTGCAGACAGTGCCCCCGCGTGGTCAAGAAAAGCAGCTAAATCATTCAGACTGAGCATATACTAAAGTATGCAGGGTCATCACTGAAATTTCATAATGAATTAATAGGCTACATGCTTAGATTACATAGATTGTCACGAGAGAACACTGCTGACTTTCATTGCAAAAATATTTGGAGGACAGAATAGTATAGAATTATTATCGTTTTTGCTACATAATCAGAAATTGCTTACCATATTCTTATCTGGTGTGACAGGCTTTACAGTCATATCTTCGTCGGCTATTGAGGATTCTGGTTCTCTTGCTGTATCCAAACTCTCATACACATTCTCGTCTTTATTCATGGCATTCCAGACGTCACCCCAGCCAGCTCTATTGAGCATCTGAACATCTTGATCCAGGGCCTTCGAGTCCACCCGAGGCCTTTCTGTTGCATTTACGGGTGATTTTATCTCCATTTTAGGGGATTGAGGTGTGTTAACTGTATGGAGAGGTGGCAGTATGATAGAGGGTGGTGTCTCCCCATTAGTTGGAGGAGCAGGGACACCATTAAAGACAACATCATTGTCTTTAATGGTGTCATAGATCGGGAATTCAGGCACAGGACCGGCCTCTGCTTCAGTCTTTATGGGATCTGGATCCAAACCTTTCGGTTCAAAGAATTTCTTTGGAATAATATATGTTGTTATTCTATGGCCATCCTTCTCCGTGTCTTGTTTTATAGAGGCAGGGAGTGTGACCTCAGCGGGCTCAATGATGGTGGGAAGACTATCAGGAGCTGTCTCTGAGTTGGACTTGAGGTATTCACTTCCACTAAACTCTTCCGGAGGGTCCAGTGGAGTTTGGTTGGTCTCAGGTGGGAGTTCGGTCACATAGGTTGCTGGGATGAAAAAAGGCTTGTCGGTCTCATCCCTCCGAACGTGCCACCAGGTTTCATTGGTCTTGCCTACTAGGATGTAGTGCTCGTTGGGCTTGATGGACACCTCTCTGCCATCTCGAGCAGTGTATTTGTATTCATAATTCACCAGAACCTGCTGTGAAAGTGACATAGTGGCCCACTTCTGCAGATCCCAAACCTGTTATGTGGCTGGAGTTCAGTGCAAACAGGAAATCAGGGTCCGTATACAGTCATCACGAGATCTGAAGATAAAGGAGGAAAAAAAACAATAGGTCTTGTATGAAATAAATCTTAGAAGTTTAGACAAAACAAAAACACAAAATATAAAACACAAAACAAGAACAGACTTGCTAGAAAAAAGAATATTAAATAATACAAAATGCAAAACAAAAATCAATCAATACAATGAAACAAAACACTACAAAAAACAAAACAAAACAAACAAAAAGCAAAAACACAAAGCAAAACTATGCATAAAGACTTACTTGTGACAATAATATAAAAGAATGAAAATGCACAAACACACACAATCAAAACAAAACACAAAGCAAAACTTTATGAATAGACTTACCAGAATATAAAAGAAAAACAAAACACAGAACAAAGCCAAAAACTCAAAAGAGAAAACAAAACTAAACATGCAGACTTACAGAATATTTATATGTACAGTATATTTTACTTACTTTTAGTCATTTAGCAGACGCTTTTATCCAAAGCAACTTACAAATAAGAAAAAGTAATTAAAGCTAAAAGCTAAAACTCTATAAATACTACTTATACACATTTAAGAAAATCAAAGAAATTAAATAAAAACGACAAATGCATACAACAACATTTCAAAACTAAACATTTAAATGAAAACAAAAAAATAAAGCTAAAAACAATTCAAAATATTAAAAGAACAAAAGGTATGAGTATAATAATGATAATATAAACATAACACTAAGCCAAACACCACAAAAACAACTACATATGTGTGTGTACATATATATATATAAATACATCCAATATATATATATATATTATTTCATTTCCAAAAACAAACAAACAAACAAACAAAAAGCAAAAACACAAAGCAAAACTATGCATAAAGACTTACTTGTGACAATAATATAAAAGAATGAAAATGCACAAACACACACAATCAAAACAAAACACAAAGCAAAACTTTATGAATAGACTTACCAGAATATAAAAGAAAAACAAAACACAGAACAAAGCCAAAAACTCAAAAGAGAAAACAAAACTAAACATGCAGACTTACAGAATATTTATATGTACAGTATATTTTACTTACTTTTAGTCATTTAGCAGACGCTTTTATCCAAAGCGACTTACAAATAAGAAAAAGTAATTAAAGCTAAAAGCTAAAACTCTATAAATGCTACTTATACACATTTAAGAAAATCAAAGAAATTAAATAAAAACGACAAATGCATACAACAACATTTCAAAACTAAACATTTAAATGAAAACAAAAAAATAAAGCTAAAAACAATTCAAAATATTAAAAGAACAAAAGGTATGAGTATAATAATGATAATATAAACATAACACTAAGCCAAACACCACAAAAACAACTACATATGTGTGTGTACATATATATATATAAATACATCCAATATATATATATATATTATTTCATTTCCATTTTGTATGTTGAAGTACTGAAATGACTCAAATTAAATCAAACTAAAACTTAATAAAAAACCTATATAGACATCATAAAAAAACTAATAAAATGACAACATCACTACAACTGTAACTAAAAAACAAACAAAAAGCAAAAACACAAAGCAAAACTATGCATAAAGACTTACTTGTGACAATAATATAAAAGAATGAAAATGCACAAACACACACAATCAAAACAAAACACAAAGCAAAACTTTATGAATAGACTTACCAGAATATAAAAGAAAAACAAAACACAGAACAAAGCCAAAAACTCAAAAGAGAAAACAAAACTAAACATGCACTTACAGAATATTTATATGTACAGTATATTTTACTTACTTTTAGTCATTTAGCAGACGCTTTTATCCAAAGCAACTTACAAATAAGAAAAAGTAATTAAAGCTAAAAGCTAAAACTCTATAAATGCTACTTATACACATTTAAGAAAATCAAAGAAATTAAATAAAAACGACAAATGCATACAACAACATTTCAAAACTAAACATTTAAATGAAAACAAAAAAATAAAGCTAAAAACAATTCAAAATATTAAAAGAACAAAAGGTATGAGTATAATAATGATAATATAAACATAACACTAAGCCAAACACCACAAAAACAACTACATATGTGTGTGTACATATACTACAACTGTAACTAAAACTAAAATAGATAACTAATACAAATCAAACTACATTAGTTTATCAGTAATCCTAAAAAATAACACTGAGCCAAACACACATGCTGAAATAACAACAACTTACTGACACATAGTAAGAAATGGTTATAAAATAACTGAAACAGAAGTGAAACAAGTAATAGGAAAGAGGAGAAATAAAAAGCGATACTTATTACAGTATATACAGTCAGTGTGTCACATTTAGTCTAGAATAAAAAAGGCATGAAGATAAGGGCCCTTTCAGAGTATTTACCCTGAAATCTACTCATTTATATGATAAAATATACTGTTTATTAGCTTACAAATATGACTTTTTTAAGGGGTGGGACTATCATATTCACAACACAAAATATTTGTGAAACAGAGGAATGCAGACAAACCAGGGGAACCACAGGTGTGTCGGAGAGAGAGAGATGAGAGAAACCTGTCAAGATTTGTAACAGCAGACGGCCTCAAAACTGAATATTTTCAGTGCAGATTTAGTTCAATACATTCTTTACTTTAATGAAACCACAAAGCAGAGACAGACAGCTGAAAATATACAAGCACGAAGGGATGAAGTAGAAGAGAAGTACTAGGCAATTGTTTTTATTTAAATGATAATGTGTGTGTGTGTATCTATATCTGTCTGTCTGTATATCTATCTATCTATTTATCTATCTATCTATATATCTGTCTGTCTGTCTATCTGTCTATATCTATCTGTCTATCTATCTATCTGTCTGTCTATCTGTCTATATATATCTGTCTGTCTGTCTATCTATCTATATATATCTGTCTATCTATCTATCTATCTGTCTGTCTATCTATCTATATCTGTCTATCTATCTATCTATCTATCTATCTATCTGTCTGTCTATCTGTCTATATATATCTGTCTGTCTGTCTATCTATCTATATATATCTGTCTGTCTATCTATCTATCTATATATATCTGTCTGTCTATCTATCTATCTATATATATCTGTCTGTCTATCTATCTATCTATATATATCTGTCTGTCTATCTATCTATCTATATATATCTGTCTGTCTATCTATCTATCTATATATATCTGTCTGTCTATCTATCTATCTATATATATCTGTCTGTCTATCTATCTATCTATATATATCTGTCTGTCTATCTATCTATCTATATATATCTGTCTGTCTATCTATCTATCTATATATATCTGTCTGTCTATCTATCTATCTATATATATCTGTCTGTCTATCTATCTATCTATATATATCTGTCTGTCTATCTATCTATCTATATATATCTGTCTGTCTATCTATCTATCTATATATATCTGTCTGTCTATCTATCTATCTATATATATCTGTCTGTCTATCTATCTATCTATATATATCTGTCTGTCTATCTATCTATCTATATATATCTGTCTGTCTATCTATCTATCTATATATATCTGTCTGTCTATCTATCTATCTATATATATCTGTCTGTCTATCTATCTATCTATATATATCTGTCTGTCTATCTATCTATCTATATATATCTGTCTGTCTATCTATCTATCTATATATATCTGTCTGTCTATCTATCTATCTATATATATCTGTCTGTCTATCTATCTATCTAGATATATCTGTCTATATCTGTCTGTCTATCTATCTATCTGTCTATATCTATATATATATATCTGTCTGTCTATCTATCTATCTGTCTGTCTATATATATCTGTCTGTCTATCTATCTATCTGTCTATATCTATATATATATATATCTGTCTATCTATCTATCTGTCTATATCTATATATATATATCTGTCTGTCTATATATATCTGTCTATCTATCTATCTGTCTATATCTATCTGTCTATCTATATATATCTGTCTATCTATCTATCTATCTATATATATATCTGTCTGTCTGTCTATCTATCTATATATCTCTCTATGTCTGTGTCTGTCTGTCTATCTATCTATCTATATATCTGTCTTCTGTCTGTCTATCTATATATATATATATATCTGTCTATCTGTCTGTATATCTATCTATCTGTCTGTCTGTCTATCTATCTATATCTGTCTGTCTATCTATCTGTCTATCTATATATATATCTGTCTGTCTATCTGTCTGTATATCTATCTATCTGTCTGTCTGTCTATCTATCTATATCTGTCTGTCTGTCTATCTATCTGTCTATCTATCTATATATATATCTGTCTGTCTATCTGTCTGTCTATCTATATCTATATATCTGTCTATCTATCTATCTATCTATCTATCTGTCTGTATATCTATCTATATATATATCTGTCTATCTATCTGTCTGTCTGTCTGTCTGTCTACCAGTCTGTTTATCTATCTATCTATCTATCTGTCTGTCTGTCTGTCTGTCTTCTTCTTTTGAAAGATATTGCCTTCAAGGCAGGTAGTTCAATTTTGTTTGTGACTTGCAGCACAGTGCAAAAGAGAAACGATACACTGTGTTGTACCATAAATTAGTATATTACTTATAATTATGATTTGGAAGCTAAAGAAGTAGCTTTCAAAGTAGTTTTCAGAGTTGTTTAACACTAGTGAGAATCAAATATGCTAAAAGCATGTAAACATAGAGTGACAGATGCACAACACTGGCTACAGGAAGTGAGTGTATTTTGCAGAGGAACGCTGCACTAACCCCAAACCTACAGAAGAAGAGACACCAAAATAGAGGAAACATCAGCTTGTAAAACAGGAAAACACACCATGCTATATGCAAACGGCAATCTCGGTTTCTTTGAGGTTGTTGCAAAATACGAATTATTGGATGTTTCAGTGATGACTGATTAATTAATCAAAACTACCACACCAGCAGCTGCTGGCGAAGACGTGAGTGAACGTGTTTTAAGTACAGTCATCATCTGCTGTGCCTTCATGGAATGAACAGCAGGCAGTTAACGCCACTAATGTCAAGAAAAATGTGTCCAAACCACTCGTGATCACATTCAGGAGTCCTCACTGCATCCAGCAACTGGTTTGGAACTGGAACAGTGTTCAGATGATTGAACTATTATATAAAAAAAACTACACATATCTCACAATATATTAGATAATGTAAATAAATAAATAATGTATCTGCATATAATACAGGATAGTGTGTGTGTGTATATATATATATATATATACATACATACATACATACACATCTACATTGTTAAAAATGTTTTTTTTTTTAAATAAGTTGTAAATAAGGCATGATTATTTGAATACATTTAGCAAGAAATTACTATTTCGAGTCTTTCTACTTCAAAATGTCATGTTTAATTCAGTGCTACTTGATTATTTTGGAATTTACTAGAAATTTCCCAGTGAAAATGTTTCCCCCCCCCCAGTGTGTATACAGTAGACAGCTTATGAATACATATATCATATAACATTATATTATATTTGTATCTACATAAATATATACAGTACACACTCATACAGTATATTACGTAAACACAAACTTTTATTTTGGATGCGATTAATCACGATTAATCTTTTGACAGCACTCATTTTAATCTCATCTTTTGCTAATATCTTACTATTTTAAACTTTAAAAACTAAATAAAACCAAAGCAAAACAAAATGAAGCAAAGCAAAGCAACTTTGTACATGGTTGTGAATCAGGTCTTAAACTAAATGGAAGTCTCATTTGCCAATATTATTATCAATTCCTGATGTACATATTACTGCAGGAACATACAGATAGCAAAAAAACCATACAACTGTTGACAGTTGTTCATAACAAACCGTCTATCTATCTATATCTGTCTGTCTGTCTATCTATCTGTCTATCTATCTATATATATATCTGTCTGTCTATCTGTCTGTCTATCTATCTATCTATCTATCTGTCTGTATATCTATCTATATATATATCTGTCTATCTATCTGTCTGTCTGTCTGTCTGTCTTCTTCTTTTGAAAGATATTGCCTTCAAGGCAGGTAGTTCAATTTTGTTTGTGACTTGCAGCACAGTGCAAAAGAGAAACGATACACTGTGTTGTACCATAAATTAGTATATTACTTATAATTATGATTTGGAAGCTAAAGAAGTAGCTTTCAAAGTAGTTTTCAGAGTTGTTTAACACTAGTGAGAATCAAATATGCTAAAAGCATGTAAACATAGAGTGACAGATGCACAACACTGGCTACAGGAAGTGAGTGTATTTTGCAGAGGAACGCTGCACTAACCCCAAACCTACAGAAGAAGAGACACCAAAATAGAGGAAACATCAGCTTGTAAAACAGGAAAACACACCATGCTATATGCAAACGGCAATCTCGGTTTCTTTGAGGTTGTTGCAAAATACGAATTATTGGATGTTTCAGTGATGACTGATTAATTAATCAAAACTACCACACCAGCAGCTGCTGGCGAAGACGTGAGTGAACGTGTTTTAAGTACAGTCATCATCTGCTGTGCCTTCATGGAATGAACAGCAGGCAGTTAACGCCACTAATGTCAAGAAAAATGTGTCCAAACCACTCGTGATCACATTCAGGAGTCCTCACTGCATCCAGCAACTGGTTTGGAACTGGAACAGTGTTCAGATGATTGAACTATTATATAAAAAAAACTACACATATCTCACAATATATTAGATAATGTAAATAAATAAATAATGTGTGTGCATATAATACAGGATAGTGTGTGTGTGTATATATATATATATATATACATACATACATACATACACATCTACATTGTTAAAAATGTTTTTTTTTTTAAATAAGTTGTAAATAAGGCATGATTATTTGAATACATTTAGCAAGAAATTACTATTTCGAGTCTTTCTACTTCAAAATGTCATGTTTAATTCAGTGCTACTTGATTATTTTGGAATTTACTAGAAATTTCCCAGTGAAAATGTTTCCCCCCCCCCAGTGTGTATACAGTAGACAGCTTATGAATACATATATCATATAACATTATATTATATTTGTATCTACATAAATATATACAGTACACACTCATACAGTATATTACGTAAACACAAACTTTTATTTTGGATGCGATTAATCACGATTAATCTTTTGACAGCACTCATTTTAATCTCATCTTTTGCTAATATCTTACTATTTTAAACTTTAAAAACTAAATAAAACCAAAGCAAAACAAAATGAAGCAAAGCAAAGCAACTTTGTACATGGTTGTGAATCAGGTCTTAAACTAAATGGAAGTCTCATTTGCCAATATTATTATCAATTCCTGATGTACATATTACTGCAGGAACATACAGATAGCAAAAAAACCATACAACTGTTGACAGTTGTTCATAACAAACCAGCACAATGAGAGGAGATATCAAATTAACTTACCATCAGAGAACACAATAATCCCTCGACGACGACGACTCTGAGCTCTGGGAATAATTCACTTTAGTAAGAAACTATCGTCTCTCTGTTTCTGGTTTAATCCAGGACGCCTCAGCCCCTCTTCAGACCTGTGCTGCTGTTGTGGAGGAAACAAATGTGGCCAGATTTGTGCTGCTCGGCTGAGTGGAAGTGAGCACGAGCGAGCGTGGTTTACAATAAAACTGCATATTAAACCATCATTGTATTTACAGTCAGTCACCAAGCGAAGGAACAATTGTCCAAAGCTGGAAAAACTGAGAAATGAGGAAGCAGAAAATAAAAAAGAGTAACGGTGAGGAACTTGTCAGCGCTGCTGTGTTTTTAATCATCGACATGGCAACACTGACAGAGGCGTGAGTATGAAGTGAAGGGCTGTTCATTCAAGGCTATTTCGGCTTTATGACTCATGTTTCGAGTCATATTTGGAGCTTGCAGACTTCAGACATGGGTGTTGGTGCGAACACTCTGACTTTATGGAAGCTTTTTAGGTTCACCTCAGAAGTCAATGGTGTCATTCTCTTGTTGGTTTTCCTTCTCTGTCTGTGCTGCGCTGATAACGTGGTCCAGGTCAACAGGAAGTTTTGAAGTATGGGGTGGGGTTGAGGTAGAATAGGTTATCATTGAGAAAAAGGCATCCACATTCTTCTGGAAGCCAAACTTAGATTAGTAGACTAGTAGATATTGTTGGAACACTGGATAAAGTCTGGTTGAAAATTCTTCTTTGAAGAGGGAATTTTGGCTTTTTTAAAATCACTCCATGAATTAGAAAATACTGTCAACAACTAGGGGGGAAAATCTCATTAAATGTCATAAATCAGGTGAATGATATATGAACAAATGCCTATGTGAAAATCTTCAGAATATGGATAGGAAATCTTGGGGTTACTAAGTGCTACGGAAATGGATATGCCACGGAATAAAAAAAAAAAGGCCAAGGATTCTGACTTTTTCTTAACGCAATTGTGCGGAAAAAAAGCCCCAAAAAATTAATAATAATAATAATAGAACTGTGACATATAAACTACAATAAAAAAAAAGTCATAGTGAGATAAAAAGTTGCAATTACCTTTTTTATTTTCTGGCATTAAAAAAAAGTCAGAATTGTGAGAAAATAGAATTCTGATTTGGTATCTTGCAATTCCTATTTATCTCAGAATTGCAAGAAACAACGCCCAAATTATGAGAAAAAACTGAATTATAAAAAGTCACAATCTTTTTATTCATTTAATTCTTTTGTGGAAACAAACAAACAGAATCGCAAGATGTGAACTCAGAATTCAGAGAAAAACAGTCAGTATTGTGAGATATTGTGAGAATTGCAAGAAAAAATAAGTCTGAATTCTCTCAGAATAGTGAGATTTTGGATATTTTCTTTCCTCTAATCTAAAAGAAGACATGTTATATGGAATCAAAATTGTGCAGTACATGGAGAGAAAAAAAAAGTCTTGTCTGTGATGTCTCACAAAAAGTAAAAAAAATATATATTTCAAACGCTGACCCAGTGTTTAGCTGTTACACTGACCTGTGGCCTGTTTCATAAAACAAGTTTATCAAATAAGCCAGGCTTATTTCAGTTAGTCTGACGTATTGTCAGTTGATTTGGTTCAAAATAAATCAGACTAACTGAAATAAGCCTGGCTTATTTGGTCAACTTGTTTTATGAAACAGGCCCCTGCTCACAGTCTATCATATTTTTATATAGCAAGTTTGCTTGGTACATACAGGAAAGGGACAGAAACAAACACAGACAGAAAAAGAGTGCTAGGAGGTAAGAAAACAGGAAGAACCAGTCAGACACACAAACACTGCGGTGTGGTTTGAGGGGAAGGACAAGTTAAAGACCAAAATATGCATCCATCTCTCTATAGCTGCTCTGTGATTCTAGGAAATGCTGTTTATGTTAAGTTCTGAGTATATATGTTGGCACAAACATATTGTTTTATAGATCAGCAAACACACATCAACGCACACAATTTCCAAGTGTAAATATTGTTGCTTTCATCAATGCTTTGGGTAAAAGCATCTGGTGAATAACTATATGCACATACATTATGAGGCATTTACTCCATAGAATTAATCATAATAATATTAAAAGAAAAGTTCAAACATTAGGAATGTGAATCACTTTTGCTTATAGACCAGAGAAAAGCTTTAGTATTCATGACTGTATAAAAAGATGGTTAGACTTTTGCCTCCTCTAGTGGCAAAACATAAGAAAGACAAAAAGTCATCTGGGATTTTCCTTCAACAGGTGATATAATGAAAAAACCCTCAGAAGAATGTTCTCTCTCATATTTCAGTCTCCAATATAAAACATGTGCTAATGAAGCAGTAGACAACCTTCATGTGCATTCATTAAACCAGGAAAATAATACGTAAAAAGAGTTTATTATCCTTTGTATCATCCACAGAGATGAATGTCAGCAACTGGATTTCTGAACTGATTTTGTGGCGAGCATTAATAATTCACATTGGCTTATAATAGTTACATTTGTGGCACATCCCATTTTAGTGATGAATGCTACACTCAAACGTGAAAATAAAGGCACGGTATCACACAAAAACGACCTGTTAAAGGAGGTTGGTACATGTCATAATTCCATTAACCATCTTCTTAATAAATGCGTACAATACCTGCATATACAACTCTTTAATGCATACAATGCTTTGTAAACTCGTAATGCTTCATATAAAACTTGGCATGTGACATTCGGATGTAAAAAAAGTACTATAAAAACAAGAGTCATAAGATCCTTGGCATTCAAGTGCCTTAAGTTTCATAAATAAAGACTTCCTTGGCTTGACAATCAATAACGACCACGCAAGAAACAAAACTTCTGAACACAAACCTGCAGAATTACACGTGAAGCCCGAAGAGTCGATTAACCGTCAATTGTGCTTCCATAAAGTTGAAAAGCAAAAATCATAGCTTTAATAACAGTTCTCCCACCGTTGCAGAACAGTGTTGGTTTGGCATTATTGACATTTGATGAAAGAACAAACACGGGAGTGCTGATGTGAGTAAATATGTACAGATGAATGTGTAAATAAGTGCACTTAAGGTCAAGAGTCAAATAAAACGCTTAGTGTGAAGAAAAAAAAAAAAAAAACGATCAAACGCTTCCAGTTGGTCTGCTACTGAGAAAAATAATGTTTTAGATAGAATACTACAATAATATAGTACTAACCCTGGATTTTGAGCTTGTAGCTTGAGCGGTTTCTAACTAACAGCTAAATCAGTCCTCCAAATCCCTCTCCATATACTTTTGTATGCGAGCGCAGCGTGGACAGACCGGACACTTGGCCTTGCAGGAGGAATGAAACACCGCTTTGCAGACGTCACACCTGAGAGACAGAAAACACAGTCACACCGTCATCCTCATGATATTTCTCCCACTTCTGTGCGTCAGCTGACTGAATCACATGACTCTACTAGAAAAGAAAGTGCCAGCACAGCAGTGGTCTAGAGTGAATCTGAGGTCTAACGTGTGTTACGCGACAGTACCTGGTGGTGCTGTCGAACTGGAAGGGGAAGATGATGTTGTCGGTGTTGCAGATCTGACATATAAAGCCCCTTTGGGTGCAAAGGTCACAGCTGTGCACGTGCTTGGACCCAAACTGAATCAGAGACTGCAGGTAAGATTCGTAGTGCTCGTCTGCTATCTGTGTGCAAAAAAAAAAAAATCACAAGTCTGATCACTTAATAGCTCTCTTTTCTTCAATGAGGGTTATTTGCGGTATTCCTATTCTTCAGAAAAAAAGGTACAAAAGTTGTCACTGGTGTCATACCTTTTCAAAAGGTACACACTTTAGGTACCAGTATGCACCCTTTACGTGTACTTTCGAAAAGGTTCTGCCCCAGCGACAACTTTTGTACCTTTCACACCAGTGACAGAAATTAAATGTTCATTTAAGAGCAATATATGCCACCTTAAACTGATTTCATTTAAAAAAAAGAAATGATACTTGATACTAGGGGCCAGATTTACTAAACAGGGCAAATTAGCATTAGAGCGCAATTCCATAAAAGCGCCTATGGGAGGGGAAAATTCTGCGGGTGATTTACTAACAATGTGCACATTAAAGTACACAGATGCAACATCTCATTTGCATAATGGCCAGCGCAATCTACCAAGAGCAGCGCAAATTACCGCCTGCTTTTAAAGGCCCGCTCCCACCAAGAACTATATTGTCTGTTTATTCGAAGCGCACGTTTGTCTGTCGCTTTAAATTCTCAAGCTCGTGATAGCAGGATTGAATCTGATTGGCTGTCAATATTTTTTATCATTCATCAGCTGGAAAAAATAGTTCTAAAAGTGATTCCAACGATATCGTTTCTCTGTGCCTTTATTGTTATAGTTGTGGTGTGGACTCTGCTATTCTTTAATATTGAGAATGATTTTTAGAACTATATCTTTATCGTTATCTTTATAGTTATCGTTCTTGGTGTGAACGGGGCTTAAAGGGGTCCTATTATACTTTTTCACTTTTTTAATTTTAGTCAGTGTGTAGTGTGTATGTTTGGGCATAAAAAAGATCTAGAAAGTTATAAATCTCAAAGTCCACTCCAAAGGGAGATATTTAGTTTTTTTTAAATCCCTTTTCAAGAACTACAATGAACGGGTCGTTTGGACTACAGCGTTGGTTTCTGGGCTTTGTGACATCACAAAGCGGCTCATTAGAATGTCATTACAAATAATTCCCGCCTGCAGAAATTGGAATGCTTGGGGGGTGGGGAGGGGCGAGGTTGTGGTTAGAGCGCTTGGTTGAGTGAGTGCATCAGACGAGACGACGAAGAAGAAGTGCTGCTGCAGAGTTAGTGCATCAGAGAAAACCAAGAAGAAGAGCTGCTGTGCTGTAGCGTCACATTTTCGGCATGTCTAGAACAATTCTTACAATTCTTATAACACGACGTAGCTGGGTGCCGCGGACAGACGCCGAACAGCACCGCCGGTGTGCCTACACTCATAGAAAATAATGACGTGGCGCGACATGACGCTGCGCTTCTCGTCCGGTGTGTGACCGCTTGAAATGCTGTTTTTTTCACCTCCGTGCCCAAACGTCTTTGTTTGGGCTTCCGAAAGCGGATGATGTCAGGAAACAGTGGTTGCAATTTATTTTTTAACTCTGTTCCTGAGCATTATAACCCCAATTTGCTATTGTATGCTGCGGATTTTACTGAGGACAGCTTCCACAACATGAGTGTGGAGTGCCGGATTCGCCAAAAGCTTTTGTTGAAAGACGGAGCAAGAGGCGTGGCAGTACTGAAACACCGTCTAAGCTGTTCGCCAATCACAACGCACTGGGACAGCTAACCAATCACAACACATTTTGTTTTTCGGAAGGCGGACCTTCATCAAAGCCAGAACTAATCGAGCCGTTTGTGCCAGCCTGGGGAGAGAGGTATTTTCAAATGTAAATTATGTGAAAAATAATGCGTAATAAAGCATGAGAGCATGTTCTAGTACACCCCCAAAACAAAATCAAGACCTTGTAAAAGAGCATAATAGGACCCCTTTAAGACATGCTTTTTTTGGACAGATAATGCCCCAAATACCAGTGAATTGACGAGCGCAAGTCTTAGTAAATTGCGTTGCGTGATTTATTTAAATACTCTCCTCCCATAAATTTACCAGTCGGAAAATTTAAACTCCTACAAATGCATATTCAATAAGGTGAGTTGCAAAAGTAACTGTCCATGCATTTTCAGTGCTAATTTCCCGCTGTAAATCCTAAACAGTAGTGTTTTTTTTAAAGCCAAATTGAGGGCGCAAACTGATAGTAAATCTGGCCCAAAATATATATCAAAAACCACCAGTAGGTGGCGCCAAGTCACTGTCCTAATGAGTTGAGTGATTCATTCAAATGGCTGATTCATTTGGTCATTGAATCATTCATTAAGCTGAATCATTCAAAACGCGGATTCATTCAATAACGAAGCACTATGTGTTACTGGCTCAGAGACACAAAACAGTTCTTTCACGTGGAAATTTTCATTGACAATATAAAGCAAAAACAAAAATATTGACAACAATTGGGTCTAAATTGTAACGCTAAATGTTTATTGAACAATGAGATCGATATGAGATTCACAATCGTGCTCATAAAACACCAATCGTGTGATTTTGCTTAACTATATCCACCTTATTTTGCAAAGCGGAGTTATTTTCCAAAAATGAATTGTATGCTAAAAGAGTAGTACGTTTTGTTTGGTAATATACTTGATCTCAGCTCGTCCATCATTAAAATAAAAATATGTATGATGATATGTATTGCACGCCCCTAGTCGTTCAAATGATAAACAACAAGAAACAGCAAGCAATACCTGCTGCAAGTCCAATACACTGTATAGATCACTGTTATCCAGTAAGTATGTCCGCTGCTGAAGTCTGGAAATAAAATACAGATCACTTATCTGTTGCAATCATCTGTTAAAGACTCGATTGTGTCCCAATTACAAACACATGCACCTAAGAATACACACACACCTGGGTTGGATCTGTTTGCTGATGCCGCTGCGGCAGATGAGGATGTAGTCTCCAAGAAAACGAAGTCTTTGTCTCAGGCTCTGCACTTTCTCCATGATGTCAGTGTGATCAAACAGGTCAGGATTCAAAGCGTCAAGGTGCAGGAGTGGCTCGTGCTCAATTTGAGTCAGCAACTTAAAGGCTTGTTTTGAAACCTGAACATATAGATATACACACACAGCTGAATGACATAAGCACATATAAACAATTCAGAAATTTGGGTTTGGTAAGATTTTGCATTCATTTGATGAAAAATACAGTATAAACCGTAATATTATGAAACATAGTTTTATCATTTAAAAGAACTCTTTTCTGTTTGAATATATTTTAAAATTTAATTTATTCCTGTGATTCAAAGCTGAATTTTCAGTGTCTTCAGTGTCACATGATCCTTTAGAAACCATTCCAATATGCTGATTTACTGCTCAAGAAACATTTATTATTATCAATGGTGAAAACAGTTGTGCTGCTGATATTTTTCCAGTTCAACAGCATTTAATTGTAATTTTTTTTTTAAATAACATTATAAATGTCTTATCTCTTACTTTTGATCACTTGTGGAATAAGTGAATTTCTTAAAAAAATAATACGAAAACCATATATATATATATACACACACACACACACACTAGTCAACATTTGAAGTCGATCAAAACCTTTCAAAATTGTCTTAAAACCTAAAACCAAAATGAGTTCTTGTCTTAGAACAACTTTGATGAACTTTTTTGATCCACTTCAAATGTTGA